CGATCTCCTGACCTCGTGATCCGCCTGCCTCGACCTCCCAAAGTTCTGGGATTATAGGCATGAGCCACCGCGCCTGGCCCATTTACCAATTATTAACAGCTGCTGCACACAGAGCCATGCCCCATCACTGAAGTTAACAGAATAAGACTGACAAAGGAGAACAGTATGTGTACAGAGAATTGCCTCTCTCTCAGAAACTGACTCAACATTCTTGTAGTAGGCTGACATCAAAGAAACTTGCAGTGGTAGTTCATGGCTGTGTTCTGCTAACACACTCTGAATCAAACCCAGACAAAGCCATCTGACCAATCGAAATCTTGTGATAGGTATAGCCAAAACCAGTCTCTAAAGCCTCTCTTTTCCCCTAGACTACTTATCATCTGCATTTCAGTCTATTCTTAGACAGACTAAGGAACTAGTTTACAAGAACACTGACCAGCCCCTCCTTGGCAATATATAACAAGACTAAACAGCCTAGAAATAAAATAGCCGAAATTGTTAGTGACCTACAGTAGAAAACAATAAAGAGCACTGCCCTCAAATAGCTTACATCATTTCAAATGTACTGATCTACAGCTACAGTGGACAAAATATGTCTAGACACTCTTCTCTTTCCCATCAGCAAAAGTCTGCTTGCAAAATGAATTCAATCTCCCTGCCAAGAAGAATTAACCACTTCTTCAAGTCATATAAACACGGTTTACATCTCCACCACAGCATGCATCACATTATCATTATAAATGATGGTCATTTTTACATCCTTGGGACCCAACACACTGCTTGACACATAATGGGTGCTCCATAAATGTTCACTGCATAAATGAATACAGTGGTTTTAGAATGTTTAGATATTTAACAAAAAAATGACTGAATAATTAATGGATGAATAAACAAATTGTGGTACATATATACAATTACAGAATATTATTCAACCATAAAAAGGAATGAAGTATTGCTACATGAACAAACCTAGAAAACATCATGCTTAATGAAAGAAGCTAGACACAAAAAGCCATATGTTGTATGATTCCTCTTAAATGAAATATTCTGTACAGGAACAGAAAGTAGACTGCTGATTACCAGGAGGGAGGCTGAGAGGAATAATTGCTTAATGGGTACTGGGTTTCTTTTGGGGGTGGAGAAAATGTTTTAAAACCAAAGGTGGTGATTGTACAGTATTGTGAGCACACTAAATTGTTCACTTTAAAATCGTTAATTTTACGTTACGTCATTTCACTTTTATTTTTTAAAACAATGACTAAAGACAAAATGCCTCTCACACAATGAGTTGAAGAGGTGGAAGGCAAGGACTTACACATCAACCTGCAAGTAAAATCTAGTCTGTTTCATTAACTAAGAAAAGTAAAACAACATTTTATTTTGAGATTAACAAAGAAACGTGAGTCACATAAAACCCACGTCTGAACTAGCATAGTTCAGACGTGGGTTTTCAATTTTTTATAAAAATTGAAAACTTTCTCTTGTTCTAATTTTGGAAAGAGAAAAATATTAACTGAATAATGAGCAATGCCATGCATCTCCCCTTTTTTTCCCATGACTAACTCTAGTAAACTGAGCTCTGCTGCAAGCACTCTTCCTCAGAAGCACAAACAAATTTTTTTTTTTTTTGAGACGGAGTCTCGCTCTGTCGCCCAGGCTGGAGTGCAGTGGCCGGATCTCAGCTCACTGCAAGCTCCACCTCCCGGGTTCATGCCATTCTCCTGCCTCAGCCTCCCCGAGTAGCTGGGACTACAGGCGCCCGCCACCTCGCCCGGCTACTTTTTCTGTATTTTTTAGTAGAGACGGGGTTTCACCGTGTTAGCCAGGATGGTCTCGATCTCCTGACCTCGTGATCCGCCCATCTCAGCCTCCCAAAGTGCTGGGATTACAGGCTTGAGCCACCGCGCCCGGCTAAACAAATTTCAAAGAAAAAGTTAGGTATCTTTTAAACTTCACTTAAAGGGAACATGAATTTATCCCAGCAGAACTATTACCATAAAATGCTAGTTTCAGAGGCAAGGATGACCACCAGCATTTAAAGATTCTGACTTAATGAAGTTTACTACTCATCATGGGCTAGTCTTCTCTGAACTTTAGTGAAACCAGGCCATCATTTGGAATATTTTGGCTCCTTACCTCTGGATGCAATAGATTTAATAATAATTTGAATCAATGGATTTCATTAAGTTCAACTGATCCATTTAGAGATAAACAGTGATACATCTGAATTTTTTTTTTCTTTATGATACATCTGGATATTTTAATTAAAAATGACTTACTATAGTGGTAAAATGTACGTAAAATTTACCATTTTAACCACATTTAAATGTGCAGTTCGGTGGCATTAAGTACATCCACATTAATACAGTTACCACCATCTATCTCTAAAACTTTTTATCTTTACAAATGCAAATGGAAACTGTAGCCATTAAACTCCCATTCCGATCCCCCAGGCAATCCTACCTTTTCTCTGAGTCTGACTACTCTATATACTTCATATAAGTGAAATCACACAATATTTTTCCTTTTATGTCTCACTTATTTCACTGACTATAATATCTTCAGTGTTCATCCATGTTGCAGTATGTGTCAGAATTTCCCTCCTTTTAAAAACGAAATATTTCATTATATATCTATATATATATACACACATACTACATTTTGTTTATCCATTGACATGTAGGTTGTTTCCATCTTTTGGCTGTTGTGTACGGTAATTTTTATTACATAGCAAATGAAACTGTGGCTACAAAGAGGTTACAAACAGTTACAAAAACATTTGTATAGAATGACTAGAAAGATTTAGAGATGTACAAACAAAGGAATGCAATTTTAGGAAAATTCTTCTATTTTGTCTCAACTGGGCTTAAAATAGAAATGTAAATACAAAATGTTGAAGATTACAGAATGACTTATTACTAAGTAAGCTACAAATGAAGACATAAAGCTATAGTAATGCAGTCTATTTTTATATATTACTCATAAAACAGTGTAGTTATGCTAGCAACAGCTATTCTAAGGGCTATTCTTGATGCCTTCCTAGGAAGGGTCACATAGAGCCTTAACAATTATAATATGAACACGCTATCATTAAACACAAGTCAATTAACCAATGTTTCCTCAATCATTAGTTTTCCATTTGTAAATGACTGTACTTCACAGCTACAAGGATCAGAAGAAAATGGAAACCCTACAGAATGGGGATCAAATTAACATTTGTGATTAGGCCCATTTTAGCTTGAGACCCACAAACAGCCCTCTCAAGACTACAGTTATAAGGTGCAGAGCAAAGCAAAGGTCATCATGAACTGATCACTTGGAAAACTACTCTCCATTCAAACAATGTGCTTTTGTTTCCTCTTCTATGAAACAGAGATGAGAGCACCCCCACCACTGTTATGAAGAACAAATGAAACCAAAGCTCAAAAGGTGCCTACTACTTAGTAATAAGCACTTAATAAGTGCTACAATTATTATTCAGTTTAGATACAAATAATTATCTCCACTTACGTCAGAAACCTATTGTGGTTCAATCTCCCTGCTCATATGCTGTAGATGTAATCTGACAGTACAACGTAAACCAAATTAACACTCATCTCTTCAAACAAAGATACAGAATATCATGTTAATGAAAGAACTATTTTAAAAATGACAGGGCATACATTGACAACTGAAGTAGAGAGAAATAAGGATGATGAGGACATAAGAACTTCAAAATGTAATTTGAACACCAAATGGCTCTAACTTCATTTCCAATACATATCCCCAAGAATCCTTTGATGGAGCACACTGAACATTCTGGCTTCATCTATTAGCAATACCTTTTCTTTCCACCTGGAGAATTTCTGTCCACCCTCTTTATAGTCTCAGTTCACGTTATTTCCTGTAGTTCCTCCCAAAATCCCCAGGCAAAACTATCCCTCCATGACCCCAAAGCACTGAGTTGACAATGTTAGTAAAGCAATCCACACATTGTATTACAGTTAAGTTCTACAAGCTTATCTCCCACAGTAGCCTCTTAAGTTCGACATTGGAACCCAGTGCCACAGTCCGTGACACTAAAGGCACACAAGATGTTTGATGAATTGAAGTGGATTCTAGAAGTTTAGGGCTTGGAAGGGCCAAAGGGGCCAACACTTTCTTTCGGATGCAAAAGTGCGACACCAAGAAGACTAAACGACTTGCCTAAATTATAGACAGTGACTGTGAAAGAACGAATACTCAAGTTTCCTTTCCCAGTAAAATTCATGAGGACAAGATTGTGTGTCTGGCTGATTGCTCCCAACTGGTTCACCCAACAAAGAATCGGAGTGCGTAATACATCCTCAATTAAGTGTTTTCCATTACAAAACAATATAAATGTCAATCCATAAACGCTGGGAAACACACAAATCCTAAAGTTAAATTTTGCGCCGGTCTTGTTTCAATTCCCAATTGCAAATATTCTGAGAAACAGACAAAAATCACCTTGTAAGGAAATGTTATATGAAAATAGTATTTGTAAAACACTTAATCCTTTCCGGCACTAAGACAGTTAAAGTGAAATCTGTTTCTAGGCTTACAGATTTACAGAAGCCTGTCTACACAGAGTGAGTAAGATAATTAAAGCGGACATACAGTATATACTCAAAAAATTTATTTGCACAGTGCAGACTATGTCAAACGCTAATAAAATGCAAGTGACAACTTGCCTTTGTGGGAACCAGACACAAAGATTCACATTTTGAGGAAGTTCAAGTTTACCGGCCAACAGCCACACCACGATTTGCTGCCGTCATAGAGGGGCCCTAAGGAGAAGGACTGCTTCCAGCAAGTCAAATACTTGGATTTCATCAACGGAGAGACAAAAGAGCCAAGGTGCGCCCAACGCACAAATGCTAAAGGAAACTATCAGTCTCCTTTCCAACCGTCAGGATTAGAAGACAGCCTGATTCCTTCCAGGAAATTCATGTAAGCACGTCCCCAGAACTCGCTGACAAACACTGCAGCCGAAGGCGGGTATGAGGCCAAGAAAAGCCAAGGAACCACTGCGACCCCTCCAGGAGGGCGTGAGGACGGCCGAGCACAACTAGGCACAAAGGTAGAAACGCAACATCTGGGCGGGTCCCGGCGCCAACTCCGATCTCAGGGCCTCCGCGCGCCCAGGGGGCCAGATGCTCAGACCTTGGACTACGGGTCCCCTCGTGGCGGGCAGGCGGCCGATTCCACTTACAGGAGGCCGCAGGCCTTCATGGACCCCAAAGCCTACAGGCCAAGTCACCCCCACAGAGAGGCCGCCCCGTCTCTCAGCAACGGCCGCAGCCAGGAGCCGCCGCCCACCCCGGCCCGGATCAGCCTGCCCGCGGCCTTTCTCCTCCTGTCCCCTATCCCGCAGGCCAAATCGGGCTGGTCTTAGTCCCGAACGGTCTTTGGGGCCTCTTCTCCACTCGCTAGGGTCCGGGGCGGTGGGAGAGAGCAGGGACTACAAGGAGGGTCAGCTAGGGTGCTACTGCCCCCTCAACACTCACCATGGCGACTCCCCAGAGCCTGCAGCAAGGAGCACCCACCCCGCGCGGAGCCTCCCGCGGTCATGTGACGCTGCGGCCCCTCCAAGCCCCGCCCTCTCTAGCCCCACCCCCGGGCCCTACAGGCTGCTCCTTGATTGGCCTACTTCTAGGAACCGAAGTCTCGCGTGCTTATTGGCTCCGGCCACTTAACGCTAGATGGACGGACCTGGGCGCCAGCCAATCTCACCACAGCGTGTGAGAGTGGGCGGTCGGTGCAGCGCAGTGGGGATCCCCCGGCGGCAGACAGGAGACAACAGGAGGGAAAGGCAGTGTGTGATGAGTTTGTCAAGAAGAAAGGAATGGAAGGAGGGAAAGCCTACAAGTCCACATTCACCATATCTGCCTTAGCGAGTGGGCTAGTGATGCGCATGCGCAAAAGGAAGACCCTGATTGGCTTGTGGGACGGTCTCAACGCCCTGTCCCAACCAATCCACATGCGCCGGGGGTGGGGCCTGGCTCTCACTGGCTGGTGCAGCCTTTGCGCGCGGGTTTCATTGCCCCGCGGCTTTTGCCCGAGTTGTTCGCTTTAGTCCCGGCGCTATGGGGTCGGAGCTGATCGGGCGCCTAGCCCGGCGCCTGGGCCTTGCCGAGCCCGACATGCTGAGGTGAGTTCGGCCGCGCAAGACCAGGGCTGGGCTCCCGCCTCGCGGCCCTGGGCCCTCAGGCGAGGCCGGCGCCCTTCCCAGGCGTCGGGCGGCGCGGAAGTGACGGGGAGCGCTGGGGCCGCGCGGGGTTTAGGACACCTACTTCAAGAGAAACTTCCCGGCCGTAAGCTTGAATGAGATGGCAAGAAGGGCGATAGCAAACGGTGATGGCAAACGTCCCTGGGAACAGCCAGCTCTGTCCGCGGGTAGCACGGTGGTAGAAAAATGAGCCAGGGAGAACTTGCCGCTCATTCCGCCAACGCCTACTGCAGTCGGGTTTACAGCAGGGAACCCGACAACGCGGCGCAGACTCCGTTGTCTATAAGGGCGAGGACCTTAACCGGGCCGTGTGCCAGAACCACTGGGCGTGGGGTGGAGCGCGGCCTAGCGGCTGCCTTTAACAAAACAACAACAAAAACTCGGAAAAGCGGGCGCTGTTCCCGCTGAGGCCGGATTGATGGCAGGTGCTAGGCGAGGAAAGATATGGCAAGAGCTGCCCAGGCAGGGACGACAGCTCCTGCAAAAGCCTTGAGATGGGAAGCGGGATCCGGGGTTCGAAATAAAGCCATTGTAGCTAAAACGTGGAGCAGTCAGGCGAGGGAAGGCAAGGAATAGAGCACTTAAAAGATTTGAAGACACACCTGCAAGACTCGGTAGTCGTTTAGAACAGTAGTTCTCAAAATGTGGTTCCTGGGCCAGCAACAGCCATATCATCTTGTCTCTTGTTAGAAATACAAATTCTTCGGTCCCACCTCAAGCCTACTGATCGGTAACTCGGCCCGGGACCCAGTAATTTGTTTTCACAAGCCCCCAAGGTGATTCTCGCCTACGATCAAGTTTAAGAACTACTGATTTAAAGGAAATAGGAGGAAAGGAGGAACCCTGGTCTAACCTGCCTGCCTCTGTGATAGTTCATGCTTGTTCCAGTAATGGAGGGAGGAAAGAAGGGTTATTTTTTTGTCGAAATTTAACTTCCTTTTGCCTGAAAGCATTTGAGCACAGTGATGTTTGGAGTCGGTGCTGGTTCTGTCTTCCTCTCCCCAGAGGTATGACCTTCATTCCCAGCCCCAGATAAACGTGCCACAGGAGTTAGGTTTAGTGTGAAGCTCACCAGGCTGTATTCATTGTTTACCAACGTGTTGAGCAAACTTCTGAATAAGTTGTAGCAAACACACTGCCCTTTTAACCAGGAAAGCAGAGGAGTACTTGCGCCTGTCCCGGCTGAAGTGTGTCGGCCTCTCTGCGCGTACCACGGAGACCAGCAGTGCAGTCATGTGCCTGGACCTTGCAGCTTCCTGGATGAAGTGTCCCTTGGACAGGGTAAGTAGGTCCCACCGAATGTCTGAATAATCCAGTGTAACAGTGAAGCTCTTTTAACTTTTGGTTGAACTAAACCCCAGTAAAATCCCTTGTTTTAGATTGGTCTGGCTATTCTTATATGTTATTCTGGAAATACTGTAGAATCATTTTGCTTTGGAAAAAAATTTTGCCATGTTTTCTTTACTCATCACTGTTTTCCCTGACCACCTCTTTCTCGGCTGGAGGCCATCTTCCACATTGCTGCTAGCATTACCCTCGTTTTAAAGCACATCCAAACCCCTGTGCTTTTCTTCCAATGTCACAGTGTTTGAGAGAACAAGCTTTGGGGTCAGGAGGAGTTGCGTGTTGAGATCAAATCTCCACACTAGCTAGTTCTGTTAGCCTCCAGTGTCCTCATCCATAAAGTGAAGATAAAATCCAATTTCGCTGGATTATTGTGAGGAGGATTAAACGTACATAACACCGTTAACACGGTACCTGTGTCATAATGTTACACTCATTAAATGGTAATATTAAAAACAAAGCTTTGTTGATGACCATCAAACCCTCCAGCCTCTCTTGAATCCTGGCCTCAAGCTACAGTATTCACTTAACAGACTCTTCACTTCAATGATTTGTGGCTTTGAAAATGCAATACCTTGTTTTTTCCTGCAGTACTCTTCTGGTAAACTCCTATTTGTCTTACATGACCCTGTCTCATTGTTACATTGAGACTTTACTCAAATCTCCCAGACAGAGCTGGTTTCCCACAGTGGAGCCTCCTGTTTCTTTTCCTACTTTCCTTTTCCTCTTTCACACACACACACACACACACACACACACACACCACCCCATCCCGTCCCTACTCCACTCCCACTACTTCTCTCCTTCCTTTTCCCAATAAATAACAGTTAGCACCTTTGTATAAACACAAGTAACCATATATGTGTTTCCTGTGGTTTTTTACTGCCTGTTTGACTATGTTAGTATTGTGTTATAATTTTAAATCATCTGTGCATATGCATGACTGCCTGCTTTTGTATAGTTTGAACTCTTTGAAAGCAGTACTTCCTCAGCCTGACATAATTACCAATTTTTTTACTAAATGAAGCTAAACCTTTAGGTATTAAGGTTTGCCACAAAATTAACTTTGAAAAGTTATACTGCTTATTAAACAAGTGTTTAAGGGTACTAATATATAGAATGTAAAGTTTTTATGATTTGTGTGTGTGTGTTTCCTTTCACAGGCTTATTTAATTAAACTTTCTGGTTTGAACAAGAAGACGTATCAGAGCTGTCTTAAATCGTTTGAGTGTTTACTGGGCCTGAATTCAAATATTGGAATAAGAGACCTAGCTGTACAGTTTAGCTGTACAGAAGCAGTGAATATGGCTTCAAAGATACTAAAAAGGTATGGGGCATAAAGAACCTTAATTGAAAATGTATACCAATAGGCGGGGTGTGGTGGCTCACACCTGTAATCCCAGCACTTTGGGAGGCCGAGTAGGGTGGATCATGTGGTCAGGAGTTCAAGACCAGCCTGGCCAACGTGATGAAACCCCATTTCTACTAAAAATACAAAAATTAGCTGGGCATGGTGTCATGCACCTGTAATCCCAGCTACTCGGGAGGCTGTGACAGGAGAATTGCTTGAACCCAGGAGGTGGAGGTTGCAGTAAGCCGAGAATGCATCACTGCACTCCAGCCTGGATGACAAAGCAAGACTTCATGGTGGGGGGTGGGGAGTGGGACGCGACCAGAAAATTTATACTGATAGATACAAATTATCCGTTGTCCTATTCTGGTTAATTTTCAGTCTTTAAAAAATAACTCATGTTAAGTGACAGCACACATATCTCATCCGTTTTAAAAGCTGGTAAGTTCTGGTTTGCACTTTCAGTCTCTTTTCAAATAATATTTTCTAACAGATAATTCTGCAATAACTTCTCCTTTAGCTATGAGTCCAGTCTTCCCCAGACACAGCAAGTAGATCTTGACTTATCCAGGCCACTTTTCACTTCTGCTGCACTGCTTTCAGCATGCAAGTAAGTATTTTATTAAACATTCAGTAAAGTTACCAATTTACAAGTTGGTTTTTCATCCCCAAGGATTACTTCTAATTTAGTTGATATCAATTCAGAGCATATTTTCCCCTAGAAATAATATTAGGAATATTGGCCAAGTGACCATATTCCTAGTTTATCCCATAATGTAGCTAACAACTTGGAACTAGTGTGGTCAGAATTCCACCAGCCAAATAGCAGCTGTATACATATGCTGGGAATTCTGATTTCAGCCTGCCTTTTATAAGAGATGATCTCTCTTATAAAAGAGATATCATTAAAACAGTCTTCATATGTGATTTTCTGCTCGTATATTTTTAAAAGTACTGGCTGGGCCAGGCATGGTGGCTCCTGCCTGGAATCCCAACACTTTGGGAGGTGGAGGCAGGAGGACTGCTTGAGGCAAGGAGTTCAAGACTAGCCTAGACAACATAGTGAGACCCGAATCTCTTAAGAAAAAAAAAAAAATAGCTGGGTGTCAACGCATGCCTCTAGTCCTGGCTTCTCAGCTACTCAGGAGGCTGAGGCTGAATTCTCACTGGAGCCTAGGAGTTCTTGGTTATAGTGAACTGTGGTCATGCTACTACACTGCAGCCTAGGCAACACAGCAACACCCTGTCTCTAAAAAAAAAAAAAAAAGCACTGGCTACAACTGTTCTTCAAGGAATTCATAACATATTTTAGTGATAAATTCTCACATCTGAATCTTAGAATTGTGGGTTATGGAGATCCCGAGACCATCCTGGTAACACGGTCGCCCAACCCCGTTTCTCTATTAAGAGAATTAGCAAAAAACTAGCCCACAGGCGGATGGTGGCAGGGCCGCCTGTTTTCTTTTTTAGTCCCACAGCCTACTCGGCCGAGGCTGAGCCCGGGAGGAATTTGCGGCTGAACCCGGGAGGGCGGAGCGCCAGTTGAGCTGAGAACTTCTTGGCACGTGCACTTCCAGCCCGGGCGCGGAGCGAGACTCCGTTCAAAAAAACAAAAAGAATTGTCCGGTTATCTATGTGTCATACTGAAATAGTTACCTTGAAATATTTCAGTAATAGTCTGGATAGTCTTTGTCGGCAAAATTGCTCTTGTTTTTATCTTGCCAGAAACAACTCCCCTAGAAAACAAAATGTAGTCTGGCCCTTAAAGAATGGATTTATCCACTACCTAGCTCACTAATGTTGGCTATGCTTGGCTCTATTACGCTTACATACCTCGGAGTCATTAATGTGGCACTTGTACGACCAACATCTCTTCAATTCAACAAAGCTATGTGCGACGAGGGGAGGCCGCGGGGGACGGAGAGCGCACCCGACTGCCCGGGACGGACCGCGCAGGGCCGGCCGACCCCCGACAAAAGAAAAGTTATTGGTGATACGCGGCAGGGCTGTGGAGTGCCACCTAGGAGAGTTAATTGCCAGGTGCGGGCGGGCGGGTTGAAACATCCTGGCGTAATAAAACAAAAAATCCGGGAGGTAAAACGAGTGGAAAAACGCCCCAACAAGTCTACTCGAGGCATCATAAAAATAACCTCTGCAGAATGTACTAAGAGTTCAAAGGTCAACGAACACACAGCAAGCCTTGAGACCCTTGAAAAACAGACTCGACCATCGTGCATCTTTAACTCACCGCCA